CAAACTTCAGCGATCCATCTATGAACTGGTGCAAGCATCTCGGAGTTGGAATATACACTTTGATAAGGTGATCAAAGCATATGGTTTTATATAGACTTGAAGTGAAGCCTGTATTTACAAGAAAGTGAGTGGGAGCTCTATAGCATTTCTAATATTATATGTGGATGACATATTATTTATTGGAAATGATATAGAATTTTTGGATAGCAGAAAGGGTATTTGAATAAGAAATTTTCAATGAAAAACCTCGGTGAAGCTACTTACATATTGAGAATCAAGATCTATAGGGTAGATCGAGACGCTTAATAGGACTTTCACAAAGCATATACCTTGACAAAGTTTTGAAAAATTTCAAAATAGATCAGTTGAAGAAAAGGTTCTTGCCTGTGTTGCAAGGTGTGAAGTTGAGTAGGACTCAAAGCCCGACCACGACAGAAGATAGAGAGAGAAGGAAAATCATTCCCTATGCCTCAGACATAGGTTCAATAAAGTATGCCATGTTGTGTAACAAACCTGTTGTGTACCTTACCATGAGTTTGGCAAGGGGGTACAATAGTGATCCAGGAGTAGATCACTAGACAACAGTCAAAATTATCCGTAGAAGACTAAGGAAATATTTCTCGGTTATGGAAGTGATAAAGAGTTCGTCGTAAAGAGTTACGTCGATGCAAGCTTTTACACCGATCCAGATGAATCTTAGTCTCAATCTGGATACATATTGAAAGTGGGAGCAATTAGCTAGAGTAGCTCCATGCAGAGCATTGTAGACATAGAAATTTGCAAAATACATATGGATATGAATGTGGCAGACCTGTTGACTAAACTTCTCTCACAAGCAGAACATGATCACACCTTAGTACTCTTTGGGTGTTAATCACATAGCGATGTGAACTAGATTATTGACTCTAGTAAACCCTTTGAGTGTTGTCACATGGAAATGTGAACTATGAAATTAATCACATAAAGATGTGAACTATTGGTGTTAAATCACATGTCGATGTGAACTAGATTATTGACTCTAGTGCAAGTGGGAGACTGAAGGAAATATGCCCTAGAGGCAATAATAAAGTTGTTATTTTATATTTCCTTATATCTTGATAAATGTTTATTATTCATGCTAGAGTATTAACCGGAAACTTGATACATGTGTGAATACATAGACAAAACACCATGTCCCTAGTAAGCCTCTACTAGACAAGCTCGTTACTCAAAGATGGTTAAGTTTCCTAAGCATAGACATGTGTTATCATTTGATGAACGAGGTCACATCATTAGGAGAATGATGTGATGGACAAGACCCATCTGTTAGCTTAGCATGTTGATCGTTCAGTTTTATTGCTATTGCTTTCTTCATGTCAAATACATATTCCTTCGACTATGAGATTATGCAACTCCTGGATACCGGAGGAATACTTGTGTGCTATAAAACGTCACAACATAACTGGGTGATTATAAAGATGCTCTACATGTATCTCCAGAGGTGTTTGTTGGGTTGGCATAAATCAAGATTAGGATTTGTCACTCTGAGTAACGGAGAGGTATCTCCGCGCCCTCTCGGTAATGCACATCATAATAAGCCTTGCAAGCAATGTGACTAATGAGTTAGTTACAGGATGATGTATTACGGAACGAATAAAGAGACTTGCCGGTAACGAGATTGAACTAGGTATGTAGATACCGACGATCGAATCTCGGGCAAGTAACATACCAATGACAAAGGGAATAACGTATGTTGTCATTACGGTACGACCGATGAAGATTTTCATAGGATATGTGGGAACCAATATGAGCATCCAGGTTCCGCAGTTGGTTATTGACCGAAGAGGTGTCTCGGTCATGTCTACATAGTTCTCGAACTCGTAGGGTCCACGTGCTTAACATTTGATGACGATTTTGTATTATATGAGTTATGTGATTTGGTGACCGAATGTTGTTCGGAGTCCCGGATGAGATCACGGACATGATGAGGAGTCTCAAAATGGTCGAAGGTAAAGATTCATATATTGGATGATGATATTCGGACACCGGAAGTTTCCCGGGGGTACCGGGTACATATCGAGTCACCGGAAGGGGTTCCGGGCATCCCCCGGCAACTACATGGGCCTAATGGGCCAAGAAGGGGACAGGCTAGCCCCTAGGGGGCTGGTGCGCCCCATGTAGGCTGAAATAGGAGGGGAATGAAAGAGGGGAAGAGAGAAAGGAAGGGGAGCAATTCGACATCCCCGTTCCTTCTCTCCTCCCTCCTCCTTCCTCCACCAGATGAATATGGAAGGGGGAAGGCCGAGTTGGGAGGCGCCCAAGTAGGATTCCTCCTACTTGGGCGCCCCCTTGGCCGCCTCTCCTTTCCTCCAACCTGTATATATGAAGGGAGGCACCGCTAGAACACCGACCAATAATTGTTAGCCATGGGTGGTGCCCCCCTCCATAGTTTACGACTCTAGTCATATCTTTGTAGTGCTTACGTGAAGCCCTGCACAGATCAGTTCACCATCACCGTCACCACACCGTCGTGCTAACGGAACTCTCCCTTGACACTTTGCTGGATCAAGAGTTCGAGTGACGTCATCGAGCTGAACGTGTGCAGAACTCGGAGGTGCCGTACGTTCGGTGCTAGATCGGTCGGAACGAGAAGAAGTTCGACTACATCAACCGCGTTGTCAAACGCTTCCGCTTTCGATCTACGAGGGTACATGGACACACTCTCCCCTTCTCGTTGCTATGCATCTCCTAGATAGATCTTGCATAAGCGTAGGAATTTTTTGAAACTGCATTCTATGTTCCCCAACATCCCCGTCTCTCGCTAACGGCGATCCCCATGCCATGCTGGCGCGCGTAATCATCGTCGATTCTGTATCCAACCATAATTAGCACTGTATTTTCATGATTGTGCCAATTTTTTGCACCACTTCGATGTATGCTACAACTTCTAGCACCAAAGTGACCGTTTGTGTCAAGTTCTAGCATCACCAGTGTAATTGACTCTTCTTTAGTAAGCATGGCAACTTCGCTCACTTCAGTTTTTTTGCTAGAATTTGCCATGCTTCTAGAAGGATTTTGCCGTCCTCTCCTTTGTTCTATAAACAATGTCTCCGCATTCCAAACAAAAGCATGGATGGTTGATGCCCCATCTCCATTTCAAAAAAGAAAGGTTTCATGATGGCCTTTGTGATTTACTTGAGTCACTACGATAGCCTCACTATTAAGAGGGGTGCAGGCGTGCAACTTAGAGGTATTATGGAAATCAACTGCACATAAACTGACTAAAATGGACCCATAAAACATCCCTGTTATTTGAGAGAGATAGCCCCGAAGTTGTGATTTTTATTCACATGAAAAGACTGCACGGAGCCTTATGGGAAACCCTGACCCTCTGAGGTCCACCCCCTCCAAACAGCATTCGGGACAACCAGAAGGTTTGCTTATCGATGCTAATTCTCTGTGTATCCTGAAACATGCCTTGACCGTCTGGGGCAAATAGTTGCACACTTGTATGCAACCTTGTGGTTAGCTCAAAAAATGCTCAGAGCCTTCAGGGTTCGGACCCTCCTGGGTGCATAGATTCTGCACATAATGGTTGGGATTTGGGGCCACCTAAAAAAGGCCCCCTTCTTCCGTGCGGAAAAAAGTGACAACTCTACTCTCTATCTCCTCCATTGATTCTAACTCAATTTTCTTTGGGAACTCTCTTTCCTTCCACTCAAATTGTTGATCTTTTGAGGAGTGAAAAAGAAGTGCCTAATCTATACTTCCACCAAAGAAAAAGTTGATTCCTCCTTGTTTCCTTAGTAGATCTTGTTGCTCTTGGAGATTGAGAAATATCGTGTCTGTAGTGCATGCATAGCCGGAAAGTAACACAATGATTCTCTCTGTCACCTTGACTCTCTCTCCTTGCGATAAGTACCTAGGATTTTATTCGAGCGGCCTTCTATCTAGCCACCCTAGCCATTGCCTCCCACATCCCTCTAACATTGCCTCTCGTCCCCTTCTCTATTCCCACCATAGCCTCGCCCCTCGACCATGTTGTCTACCTCCTATAGTCCACAGAGCGTCAACGCGAGCAGATCGACCTTGTTGAAACCAGCCACCCCACCTTACTAACGCATTGATCGACCTCGAGCCCCGTCTCCTATTGTCCAACATGAAAACCAGATCACTTCCTCCCATGTGGGCCTCAGCCTTCGTAGCTCGCTTCCTCTCATGTGGACCTCCACCACTGTAGCTCGCCTCCTCCTAGGTTGAGATTGACCTCCACCTCGTTTTCTAATAAGGTTAAGCTTAAGAGAAGCGATCCATATATTGGATGGAAATTCGTTGTACATGAGCTCAAGCTAATAAGTTCCCGCATGAATACTAAAATCTAAAATAATATTAAACAAAAATAAAATATGGATTTTTTTATAGTGACATGTTTGCGTGTTCTATCCATTTGCATTTTTTTGTGAAGAAAGACATGTGCGGTTGTTTGGTGTAACAAAGAAAAATCCAGTGCCCTAATAAAGGGGTTTTAGAGCATTTATTTTTTGTTTTGGTTTTCCGCACTAACTAATATGTATTTTCTCGGCAAAAATGTCCATACAGTTATAGGATCGGAAAAATGGATGGAGACAATTGAAGCTGGTGTCAGGAGGCCAATTACCTATTTCAAGCGAATACAAACATTAGCACACTCAAAATCAATTTTTGGAAGAAGAGTACAGAGTTCCCAGTTCCACACCATAGAAACAAAAGTCAATAGATATACCTAGGGAAGAGTACATAGTCATAGATACCCATGTATTTCAAAAGAATTAAGAATTAAGCATACTTTGTTTTGCAAAAAGGCCAAAGGCCATATATTAAGTAGCACAAACCCTTACAAAAACACATCATACTTGGGTTTTCAAATATCTGACCATTTCCCATTTGTGTGTTGGTAAATAAAGACATATTAAAGCACACAGAGTTCCCTTCAATGACACAAAAGGGCAATTGTGACTTCTTTCAACCGAATGAATGAGTCTTCAACGTGCAACAGGATCTGTGGTCCTTGTTGCCATCCTTCTAGACACATACTCCATCTCTAATGCAACACTGTCCTGAGATTCATTATTCAAGTTTGGATCATGGCTTCCACTTCCGGTGTACAAGCCTCTGCTCATGTCACTGCTTGCATAGCAATCCTCGAGCTTGAGGCACTCTTGGAGCTGCACCACCACGTCGCTGATGGTGCGCCGTTCCAGCGACACCTGTGCGGTGCACTCCAGAGCGATGTTTGCCACCTTCCACACACTGTTCACATGATAACAACCATGCATGCGCGCATCCACCATGCTCTCAATGTTGCCCTCCGCTAGCTGGGACCTCACCCAATGGACGATGCTGATGGGCATCGGAGACTCTGGCAATATAGCTGGTCTTCCGGTGAAGAATTCAAGCAACACGGCACCGAAACTGTACACGTCACTCTTTGTTGTTGGTTGCATCGTTGCCAGGTACTCTGGATCAACGTATCCATAGGTACCAAGGAGTGTGTTTGTGGATACATGTGTGTCCTTGTCATGTTTGAAGGCCTTAGACACTGCCGAAGTCGGCAATCTTGGCCTCCAGACTTGCATTTAGGAGGATACTTGTGGGCTTCACGTCCATGTGGATGAGAGGCGGGCTGCACCCGGTATGTAAGTACTCAAGCCCTGCGCATCACAACATCAGCAAACCATCCCTCCCTAAACTTTTTGGAAATACAAACATATAGAAGCAAAAGGGGCATTGTATTCAAAGCTAGTACCTTTGGCAGAAGTGCAATTTGAAGTCTCTGTCTCCAATCCAGTAAACCTTATCCATCATCGTATCTTCCTGCAAATATATGTGCATTTTGAATTTTCCAACATCAGACACTGGCGATGATTCTATGGATCAATTGTGAACATTTCGCCAGATAGCACTTTGAAGTTATATGTCATTGTATAGTAGCAATCACTTTGTTGGTACCAATTTGAAACCACACGACTAAACAATTTACATTATGTACATATTACCTATAATATGCTCTTGTTGTGTTCCTTCTGACATGTACTTGTACACAAGTGACATGTCTTTTCCATCCTTACAATAGCCAATCATGGTGACAAGATTCTTATGGTGAATCTGCGTCAAAATCTGAGCCTGCACAAATGTTCATGTCCCACCAAATCCAATATGAAAAAATGCTTAGTTTTTTGTTGTATGTGCACTAGGAGTGGCTAATGGCTAGGCATTATGATTGACTTAAACTCTTGAATGTCTTAATGCAGTGACATGTAATACTCATGCACATTCAAAAAACCTCACCAACTGAAGTCAAGGAGATTCTACCTCTGCGAGGAACACATTGACACCTTGCTTAGAAGTACGAGACCGCAATTTCACGGCCACCTCAGTGTCATCTTCTAGGAAGCCATGATAGACAATCCCGAAACCTCCCCGACCAAGAATCCTCTTGAGTCCCTTTATTATCATATCAAGTTGTTTGTAGGTGAACCGACGGTTCTCAAGTTGCAATGAGCTGTCCCCACGCTCACCATTTACTATCATATAGTTGACAAATGGTAGCATCAATAGTGTTCATGGACTAGATAATTGTTATGCACACTTATGTTGATTCCTCACCTTGTTGTCTTCGTCTTACCAGGAAAAAGATCACTACTGCTAATGATACCATCACCACAACCACAAGTAGAGGGACAACAATATAGATAGCCAGCTTGTTGTTCCTTTTAGGCGCCGACTGGCATGAATTGTCACTTGCGCAAATGTTTGGATTGTTGTCATATCTACCGAAAAATATGAAATGAAAATGTTCCATCCAATTTATCTAGTATTATATGTGATGGAGCTAGAAGAACTGGAAGCTGACCTAAAATTGAGGGAGCCATCTTGAAATCTTTTGAGAAGTACAGAGGGAATTGAACCACTGAGCTGATTACCTGACAAATCTCTAGCGAAAAAGAAAATATGCAGGAGTTGAATTAATGTTTTGGGTGCAAAATTAATTGTCAGAAGTTGCAGGACTTACATAATCGTCAATGAAGGTAATTGTGAAAGGGCATCTGGAATTAAGCCTGCCAATTTGTTGTTTGACAGATTTCTAAAAAAACGTGGACCAATATTACCTTTCACCATTTTTTGGTGCAAAAAGTAACCATGATGAATCTTAAAAACATTGTAGTAAATCAACTTACAACTACTGGAGAGCCTTGAGATTTATGAAACAAGATGTTATATCACCACTGAGACCGGTGACGGATAAATCTCTGCAGAAAATGAACCTCCGTCGGATGAGTATCATTATCGAGTTTTACATGATATTCCATTCGGCATTTTCCTGTTGAAGTGAATTTAACTACGATGCTCAAATCTAAAATACTTACACTGGTTTGATCCTATGGGGGGTTGTGATCTCATAACTGCACGTCAACCTTTCCCAGGCCATAGTCTTTGGAATGCATGGACACCCATCTAGTTCTTCTGCACCTGCTACTTCATCTTTATCGCCATGATAGCAGATACTGTTGATTCATGCAAGTTTTTAGTACCACACATGATTTGACTAAGCATCAACCACAACTCATGTGTGTATGTCGTGTTGTTATATGGGGTGTGAATTTCTTCTATGCAGAGCGCATGCTCCCTTCATTGTAGAATAGAAGGCTTTAAAGAACATGTGGTGTGTAGATATTAGAGTGAGTATGTGCCAATAATTTTGTTGGAAAATTCCATCCATTTGCGATATGGGTGGAAAAACAAAAATTGGGAACTAAAATAGCAAATATTCTTTTGAAAAAGTACTTGAATTTTTTATTTGCAATGCCTGAAAATAAATTGTTATTTTCATCAAACATGAAATTTGGAAATGAATTTGATCATTAGTATATGATTATATTGTGGATGTTTATGAAGGGTGCAAAATCATTTTTTTTTGAAAAAGAGAGCATGTCAAGAGCACAATTGATGGTTTCAATAATATTGGGATTATATTGTGCCACGAAACCTCGATGCATTAATCACACAAACACACGCGCGCGGGGTGGGTGGGGTGGGGGGGGGGGGCACACTCATACGTAGGTAGATATATTGGATACAAAGTTATCATTGTGAATTTTCAGAAAAAGTTGTAACTACTTCAACGTGTGTGAAAATAAGAAAATGAGAAAGCAACAATACAATTTGTGTTGTGCCTTTTCCATTTTCAGATTTTCACACATGTTCGTAGGTGTATCCAATTCATCCTACTTGCGTGATTTTTTAAATTTTTTGAAACTTAGTAGTATGATTTTTGTGAAGTCTTAGGAAGTAGGTTTATAAGTACCCATGTTCGTTGAACATTTTAACTAGGCACTAGTACATGAAAGACATGATTACATTTCTTATAGTCATAAAATTAATTTATAAGTCTGGGCAATACTCACTAGTACTTTCCTAGTACTGTACAACTGCTCAACCCAAACACCTCAAAAAGACTGTCACGGGTGGGACTCATTGTACATGGTTTTGAAACAAAATCTACATCAGAGGCGGCATATTATCCAAACCCTTTGGAATTCTTTAATATCAGATCCCAAATGGTTTAGGGCCCACAGCCATTTGGGATATATCCAGGCAACGAGGCTCAATAGCTAGCAATTGGTATATATATATATAGCGGGCTTAACTCTAAAACCCAGTGCAAGCTCTCTCTCTCTCTCTCTTTCTCTCTCTCTCTCTCTCTCTCTAAACTTGACATAGGGGAGTCCGTAAAGAGAGATCTAAAAGATTGAAATATGACCCAAAAAATAGTCATGTATATGGGTGCGTGAAAGTTAGCTATCTACGTGTCAGAACCATGACAATTTCGAGATCTTATGTGTTTCAACTCTAGTCTACCACAACTCATTTGGGACTAAAATGCTTTGATTGATCGAATATGTATTTACCCTGGCATGTAATTTCAAATTTAAGGTATTATGAATAATGTCATGGAGAGGCAGAAACGACAGAGGTACTGCTTACTCTATAATTTCTTGGTGGCAGCACGGAGGTAATTCTCACTCTATAATTTCTTGGTATGCTGCCGTGCGATGGTGAGTGGTAGCACCAAAAGGCTTGGTACACTAGAACTTTGCTCGGCCGCACCCTTCTCCCCCACCCCCATCCCTCTACTACGAATAGAGATAGTGCCCTATCCACTTCAAAACGATGCTAGATCCTGATTTGAGAAATCACCCTTCCCCACACTTTTGATCCCTAGACACACACAAACCCATCCAGTCATGCTCTTCCTAACCTGCTGTCGGATTTCGGGTTCCGGCAGACCCTCAAGGTTCGAACTCTGGGGTGCGTGCGGAGATCACACCTCCTACCTACTCACGTCTCGTCGCCTCGCAAAGGATCTAAACTACATGAAGAACAACACAATAGACACGAGGTTTATACTAGTTCGGGCCATCATTGAGGTGTAATACCCTACACTAGTTTGTGGTGTGGTGGATTGCCTCAGGGGCTGATGATGAACAATACAATGGAAGAACTGCCTCGCGAGGGGAGGAGCTCTTGTGTTGGTGGTTCTGGCTAAGGTTCGACTGGTCGATCTCTGGATCCGATCTCCCCTATGCTATGGTGGCTAGTCCTATTTATAGAGCGAGGCCCTGGTCCTCTTCCCAAATATTGAGCGGGAAGGGCGCCAACAATTGGCCATTTTGAAGGGAAACATCTAGTACACTTATCTTGACTAAAGTTGTTCCTCGCCTGCCAAAGACTCTGACGATGACGCCGGCTTGGGCTCCACGATGACCTCCATCCTGCCGCTCTGCTGGTCTTGGTCTTGTTGCACCGAAATGGTTTCCTTTGCTTGATACCCTTGCCCGTGCTTGCCCCCTTTGCACCAAAGAGGAAACAACGACTCTGCGCAGGCCGGCGCCCGCCTGGCTTCGGTCGTCATGGCTTGCGTCATGGGCACCTCGTGAGGTACCCCTTCTTGATCTCTCCGCCTCCTCGCGAGCCATCCTGACGAGGCTGTGCCTGAGGAAGCTTCCTGTCGTCCGCCCCGCGAGGCTTGGCCCCTCGCGAGGGTCTTGAGCTTGTGTAGACGAAGATGGGCCGTACTGGGCCACTCCTTGAGCCACGCCGCAGGCAAGTCTGGGTACCCCCGTTCCCAGAACGCCGACAGTAGCCCCCTGGCGGAAGGCGCGCCCGGACTTGGCTTAGCAGAGAAGCGAAGGGCAAGTGCGAAGCGCCACGGGCCCCAATAGCCTGCGGCCTTGGGCGCCATGTGGCGGTTGATTGGACGTGGGCATCCCTGCTTTCCCATGACGCCTTGGCAACCGCACGACTTGACAAGAGAGCGTCACCCGGCCGGGCTTACCCTCTTTGCCTTCTCCAGTCATTGCCTAGATCCCCTTTCTCGCTCTCCTCCTTCTTGCTCCCGAAATCCCCAGATCTACTCCAACCCCGCATCTCAGCAAGACATGGCGCATCGCCAGACCCCGGTCGGAGCCTGGTACTCGCCCGCTCTGGATCCTCCGAACGTGTCGGAAAAGAACCTTGCCTGGACGTGCCAGATGATGGCGGCTCAAGGCAATGATGGGGCGGCCATGCTCAAGGT